CTGGGGAGGGGGAAATGGGGAAGGGAGGGACATTCTGGGGAGGGGGAAATGGGGACAGGAGGGACATTCTGGGGAGAGGGAAATGGGGACAGATGGGACATTCTGGGGAGAGGGAAATGGGGACAGATGGGACATTCTGGGGAGAGGGAAATGGGGATGGGAGGGACATTCTGGGAAGAGGGAAAGGGGACAGGAGGGACATTCTGGGGAGGGGGAAATGGGGACAGGAGGGACATTCTGGGGAGAGGAAAGCAGGATGGGATGGACAATCCAGGGGATTTTCCCTGCCTGAGGCCCAGCACAACTCGGTGCAGGGATGGCTGGGGCCATGACACATTTGGCTGGCACAGAGCCACATTTATCCCTTTTCCTCCACATTTATCCACTTATTTCTCCACATTTACCCCTTTTCCTCCACATTTATCCCTTTTCCTCCACATTTATCCCCTTTTTCCTCCACATTTATCCCTTTTCCTCCACATTTATCCCTTTTCCTCCACATTTATCCCTTTTCCTCCACATTTATCCCTTTTCCTCCACATTTATCCCCTTTTTCCTCCACATTTATCCCTTTTCCTCCACATTTATCCCTTATTTCTCCACATTTATCCCTTTTCCTCCACATTTATCCCTTTTTCCTCCACATTTATCCCTTTTCCTCCACATTTATCCCTTTTCCTCCACATTTATCCCTTTTTCCTCCACATTTATCCCTTTTTCCTCCACATTTATCCCCTTTTTCCTCCACATTTACCCCTTATTTCTCCACATTTATCCCTTTTTCCTCCACATTTATCCCTTTTTCCTCCACATTTATCCCTTTTCCTCCACATTTATCCCTTTTTCCTCCACATTTATCCCTTTTTTTCTCCACATTTATCCCTTTTCTCCACATTTATCCCTTTTTCCTCCACATTTATCCCTTTTTCCTCCACATTTATCCCTTTTTCCTCCACATTTATCCCTTTTTCCTCCACATTTATCCCTTTTCCTCCACATTTATCCCTCTTCCTCCACATTTATCCCTTTTCCTGCACATTTACCCCTTTTCCCCACACCTGCCTCTGCCCAGGGGGGTTTTTTTCTGCTGGGACCCCCCACACTGGGTGCGTTTGACCCCCAAACTTTATTTCCAGCCCCCGAAATCCTGCACGGCTGTCCCTACGGCCCAGAGGTGGACATGTGGAGCGTGGGGGTCATCACCTACATCCTGTGAGTGTCACAGCTGGGGGACACGTGGGGGTGTCGTGGGGGTGGCAGGGTTTGTCCCAGCGTGTCCCACGGCTCTGTCCCCCCCAGGCTCTGCGGCTTCGAGCCCTTCTTCGACCCTCGGGGGGATCAGTACATGTACAGCCGGATCCTCACCTGTGACTACGAGTTTGTGTCCCCCTGGTGGGATGAGGTGTCCCCAAACGCCAAGGATTTGGTGAGCCAGGCAGAGCTGGGGCTTGGGAAAATGTACATTTTTAAAAAAAATTGTTTTGTTTTATTTTATTTTATTTTATTTTATTTTATTTTATTTTATTTCTCATTTCTCCTTTCTCTTTTCTCCTTTCTCCTTTCTCATTTCTCCTTTTTCTCATTTCTCCTTTTTCTCCTTTCTCCTTTTTCTCCTTTCTCCTTTTTCTCCTTTTTCTCCTTTTTCTCCTTTTTCTCCTTTTTTCTCCTTTTTTCTCCTTTTTCTCCTTTTTTCCCCTTTTTTCCCCTTTTTTCCCCTTTTTCCCCCTTTTTCCCCCGTTTTTCCCCTTTTTTCCCCTTTTTTCCCCCTTTTTCCCCCTTTTTCCCCTTTTTCCCCCTTTTTTCCCCTTTCCTTTCCTTTTCCTTTCCTTTTCCTTTCCTTTCCTTTCCTTTCCTTTCCTTTCCTTTCCTTTCCTTTCCTTTCCTTTCCTTTCCTTTCCTTTCCTTTCCTTTCCTTTCCTTTCCCATTCAGCTTTATTTATTTCTTGCATATTATTTCTTTATAGATTTATTATCATTATAGTTATTATTTCTTTAATGATTTCATTTTTATCCCTTTATTTATTAATTCCTTTATTTATTTACAACATTTTGATTGCTTATTTTGTGATTTCATTTTTGTCCCTTTATTTATTAATTTCTTTAATTCTATTTATTTATCACATATTTTTATTATTTGCTATGTTTAGCTATTTATTACAAATTTTAATTTATTACAAATGTTTATTTATTTATCACTATCTTCATTATTGATTTCGCTTATTTTATGATTTTATTTTTATCTATGAATTGCATTTTTTATTTTTATTTATTAACCACATATTTTCATTTTTGATTGCATGCATTTCATGGTTTCATTTTCATGTATTTACTACATGTATTTATTTAATTAAAATGATTAATTTCTCACACATTTCTATTATTTCATTTTTAATGTGAATTTATTATTTATTTATTGTGATGTGCTCTTGCTTTCTTTAATTCCCTTTATTTATTCCTTATTTTTAAGATTGATTTTACAATTTATTATAATATATATTCATACATAATATAAATTATATATTTATTATAATGCTTTCTTATTTTACTCTGAGTTACTTCCAAATTACAAAACAATCCAAACAATCCAAATAATAGGAATAATATAATATAATATAATATAATATAATATAATATAATGTAATATATTGTAATATCATATAATATAATGTAATATAATATAATATAATGTAATATATTGTAATATAATATAATATAATGTAATATAATGTAATGTAAAATATAATATAATATAATATAATATAATATAATATAATATAATATAATATAATATAATATAATATAATATAATATAATAATGTGCAAATATATATAATGTATATAT